AGAAATTATTGTCAGCTAAGCGACAGTTTCAATTCTGTTGTTGTCGTTGATCGGTGTCCAAGAAAAAAAAAAACCGGAATGCTAATATATAATTTTAAATGTTGTTCTTTTTTTATGACTAATATAAAGTTTGAAAGATTTTATTTTTTTTGCTATGTCTTTTTGAAAAAATTTTGTTGTTTAAATACTAATTGAAACCAAAATTTTTTGTTTCTTATTTACATTGATAATTCATTAAAATGCAAAAAAAAAAAAATTTACAAAAAAAAGAACATTGGTTAGAATAGTAATGAAATAAAGGTGGGTATTATTTGATTCATCAAATATACCTACTTTTCCACAAATTCGACATGTCAACATGCCATCAGATGTTTTTGTTGGCGTTGGATCGATGTCAACGATGCGACTGTTTTGTAGGATTGGATTTTTGACACCGTAACCACCGTTAACAAATTCAACATTTGTTGAAACCTGTAAAAAAAAAACTGTTTTCTTTTTTGTTTTCTTGAAATAAATTTAAATTTTAAAACAACAAAGAAGAAAATGAACATTTAAACAGGTGAAAAAAGAAAGATACAAAAGCTAACAAAGAATTCTTATTTTTTTTTTCTATGTTTTTTAAACTAATTAAGTATGAAAAAAAGTGGCAACAAGAACAAAAAAAAGAAAAAAACCATAGACTATTTACCGATGCCGGTGTATTAACTTTTTCTGTTATTGATGGTAACAAATTTTCCACTAAAAATAATTTTGATGGATTTGTTGGTGGTTCTTTAACAATTGGTGGACTGATACTTTGCGGTGATGAAAATGCGCTATTCTGTGACGGAAATAACGTTGGGAATGTTGGCGTTATAAAAATTGACGGTAATGTCGGTTGAAATACCGGAAACGGTAACATCGTTTGTAGCCAAAACGGTGGCATCGACATCTTTTTTTTTTTTTGTTTTTTTTTTGTTTTTTTTTTTTCAATTAACTGAACATCAAACAAAAAATCGTTCTTTTTTTTTTTTGCCCAAGTAACTATACAATTATTGCTTCTGTTTCTGCTTCTGTTCCAAATTCTGTTGATACTGACGCTGTTGTTGCTGCTGCTACTGCCGATGCTGTCTGTGTTATTGGTGCTGCTGCTGCTCCAAATGGCGATTATCTGTTGTCGGATATTCAGTTAAATAGTTCCAAAAAAAGTTGAAACAACAAAAATAAGCATTGGACCGCCAAAGTTTTTTTTACACTGAAATTATCAATTGTTCTGTTAGCTGTTTAGAACAAATTTATGGAACAGATCCAATGCAATGACGACACATCGAACAACAACAATAGGTAATAATAGTAAAGCAAAACAGGGGAAAAAAAAGTGGTTTGAAAAATAGTATTAGAAACAACAACATTTGAAACTTTCTGTAACTGTTTTTCCGAAAAATACAGATATTTCAGTGAAAATTACAAAGTTTAACATAATCTTTGCAGGCGTAATAGTCAAAGAACAAATTCAAAATTCATAGAACAGCCCGTTTTTTTTTTGCGACCCCCCCCCCCCCCCCCCCCCCCCCC